ATTGATAAAACAGAGAAAAGGCACAACTAAAATGGGAAATCAGGTATTTGTATCAATCATCATATGACAAGTGTAAGTTTACTTATGGTCACTAAGGACCTTTGAATATCTGGGATACTCTCGGTGTAAATGAATGATTTAACAGGGGAAAAAAACTTTTCCTTTCTAAAGAAATAGGAAGCTTTTTATCTCATTGGACTTGAAGTTGACATTCAGAGAAATGGTTTTCTTAGAGCCTAGCTATTTATTCAGAATGTCTGAATTGAAAATATTTCTTAGCCGAGACCGGTTTGGCTCAGTGGATAGAGCGTCGGCCTGTGGACTGAAGGGTCCCGGGTTCGATTCTGGTCAAGGGCATGTACCCTGGTTGTAGGCATAATCCCCAGTGGGGGGTGTGCAAGAGGCAGCTGATCAATGACTCTATCATCGATGTTTCTAGCTCTCTATCTCTCTCCCTTCCTCTCTGTACAAAATCAATAAAAATATATTATATATATATATTTCTTAAATCTGTTTAGTGTAGACAAATTAGAAACCTCTTTAGCCTAATGGTTTAGAAGAAATTATGGCTATAACATTCTTTTAAATTGTTACATATGATTATGTCAATTTCTTTCATATTTTACAAATATAAATTACAAATGAGAGCCTACTTTAGGGTGTTGACTTTTCTATTTAAATATATATTTTTATTGATTTCATAGAGGAAGGAAGAGGGGGAGAGAGATAGAAACATCAGTGATGGGAGAATCATTGATTGACTGCCTCCCTCATGCCCCTCACTGGGGCTTGAGCCCGCAACCCAGGCATGTGCCCCTGATGACTTTTCTAAGTAGGAATCTTCCATCTGACTTTACCTTGTTTGCCAAAGACTTACTTAAAAGTAATCCTTGCCCTAGCCTGGTGGCTCAGTTAGTAGGTCATCCCATGCACCAAAAGATTGCGGGTTCAATTCCCTGTCAGGGCACATACCTAGGTTGAGGGTAATGGGAGGCAACTGATCACTGTTTCTCTCTCTCTCTCTCTCTCTTTCTCCCTCCCTCCCTCCCTCTCTCTCTAAAATCAATAAACATATCCTCAAGTGATGATTTAAAAAACCCCTGATAGAAGTGGTTTGGACTGATGAGGTTGATAAATGTCAGTGTGAAGGAAATATTTAATTATGAGAGGCCCGGTCCATGATTCATGCACCGTGGGGATCTGGGGAGGAACCGCTCCCACTCATCCCAGCCCTGCTTATCCCGGTCAGCTGAATGGGGCTCCCACTGTGGGAGCACACTGACCACCAAGGGGCAGCTCCTGTGTTGAGCATCTGCCTCCTGGTGATTAGTATGTGTCATAGCGACTAGTCCAGCAGTCAACTGGTTGACTGGTTGCTTAGGCTTTTAAATATATAGATTGTTTGGATGCCTCTGGTGATACAGTAATATATTAAAATATTAACTTTATAAAAATTATAAACATAAAGTGAAGCCATATCATATCTTGTATTTTAACCAAGGAGGCAAAGACTTATACCCTGAAAATGATAAAACATTGCTAAAAGAACTTAAAGAAGAGACCTAAATAAATGGGAAGATATCTTATGTTCTTAGATTGGAAAATTTAATATTAAGATGTCAATACTACTTAAAGTGATCTACAGGTTAAATGCAAGCCCTATCAAAATTACAATGGCTTTTTAAATTAAAATATATTTTAGCCCTAGCTGGTTTTGCTTAGTGGTTAGAGCATCAGACTGAGGACTGAAGAGTCCTGGGTTTGATTTCAGTCAAGGGCACATGCCTGGGTTGTGGGCTTGATCTCTAGTAGAGGGCATGCAGGAGGCAGCCAGTCAGTGATTCTCCCTCCTTCTCTCCGTCTCCCTTCCTCTCTGAAATTAATGCAAATATATTTTTTAAAAATAATTGAAAACAGGAACTCATAACAAGTACATGTACACGTATGTTCACAGTAGCACTATTCATGGTAGTGAAAAAATGGACATAGCCAAGGTCGTGGTGGAAGGATACATCAGTTGTGGTATATATACCTCTAACCCTTGAACAACACAGGTTTTAACTATGGGATCCATTTACATGGGCATCCTGTCTAATAAAGACAAAATATACAAATTGACCATAACTCCGTGACAAAGCTGGTGGCACCCACAGCCAATAAAGAGGGAGTATGCAAATTGAGGTAACAAGGCGGGAGGTGGAAGGTGGCTCTGGGCTGGAGCAAAGGCAGAAAGGCGGCTCCGGGCTGGAGTGAAGGTGGTGCCGGCAGCCAGAGGAAGGAAGGCTTATTCTTGCATGAATCTTTGTGCATCGGGCCCCTAGTTTTTAAATAAATATAGCCATTCCTCTGTATCTCCAAGTTTCGTATCTGAAGATTCAACCCACTGACTGCAGATCCTAAACAGTATTTGTGATCCGTAATTGGTATCCGTGAATGTGGAGGTCCAACTGTCAGCATTGTTCTACTTGTTATTCACAGGGGCCCTGGAATCAATCCCTCATGGATACCAAAGTGACTGAAGTTAAGTTTTGGGGGAGTCAGAAGTTATAGGTATATTTAAAAAAATATATATTTTATTGATTTTTTTACAGAGAGGAAGGGAGAGAGAGAGATAGCTAGAAACGTTGATGAGAGAGAAACATCAACCAGCTGCTTCTTGCACATTCCCTACTGGGGATGTGCCCGCAACCAAGGTACATGCCCTTGACCGGAATCGAACCTGGGACCTTTCAATTCGCAGACCGACGCTTTACCACTGAGCCAAACCGGTCTCGGCAATATAGGTGTATTTTTGACTGCACAAGGGGTCAGTAACTCCCCTGTCATTCAAAGGTCAACTGTATATATAATGAAATATTATTCAGCCATAAAAAGAAATGAAGTACTGATACATGTTACACTATGGAGGAGCTTAAATGTTATTCTAAGTGAAAAAAGCCAGACATAGGGCTACATAGTGTAAGGTTTTATTGATATGAACCATCCAGAATAAATGCGTGGAGACAGAGTGTGGATTGGTATTTGGAGAGGGAATGAGGAGACACTGGTTCACAAACAAGGGTTTTACTCCGGGTGATGGACCAATTTGGAACTGGGTAAGAGGGTGGTTGCCCAATATTGTGAATGTATTAAGTACCACTGAACTTCTCACTTTAAAATGGTTAACTTTATGTCATGTAAATTTCACTTCAGTAAGTTTTTTTTTTTCCTAGTGTATTGATACAGGAATATAAAAGGTATCCAGATACTCATGTGGTGTATTTCACACTGTGGGTAATACAGTTTATAACATAAGAAGGATAGGGGAGTAAAACAAAAGACAAATTTTGGATTAGTTTTTCAAAAGATTGAAGCCATTTTAAAGGATTGGATCAGAAATTTGGACAAATGGGATGGCATGAAAGAAAAAATGGGAAATAAAAATTATTATTAGCCTTTTTCAACCAGAAACCAGAGTCTCAGCATCAAGATAATAATAAGCTCAGATTTGTTTATTAGACACAAAATGGTGTGCTCTGAATTTTTAGGTTAACTTCAGAATTATTTAAAATATTTTGATAAGAGCAAAGCAAATATTGGTAAATGACTCATTGAAGATGTCAGGCATAAATTGGTAAAACTGAGAAACAGTGGAGTTTACATCTTTTAGAGGAAAGGCCTCCTTAGGATGCAGGTGGAAAAAGAAGGCAGGTACGCTTCAATATGGGACATTCTTCTGACTTAGAATTACAGTTTATGTCTTCAGAGAATCCATTGAATAATAGAAACTACTGAAGTTAGCTAAACTAATTTTATTTTATTTTATTTATTTATTTATTTAATATATTTTATTGATTTTGTACAGAGAGGAAGGGAGAGAGAGATAGAGAATTAGAAACATCGATGAGAGAGAGTCATCGATCAGCCGCCTCTTGCACACCCCCCATTGGGGATATGCCCTCAACCAAGGTACATGCCCTTGACCGGAATCGAACCCGGGTCCCTTCAGTCCCCAAGCCGACACACTATCCATTGAGCCAAACCGATTTTGGCTAGCTAAACTAATTTTAGTTGCTTGTGTTCAGTGCAGCAATAAAAGACAAAAGAATGCAAAATGTGTCATATGTCTGTTATAATATGAGTCACCTATAAACTATACAGGGAATTTTTGTGTGTTGATTTTTGGGCTAACAGTGACTGATTTTTCACAACCCCGTTATCACTGTAACCTTACCTAATAATAAAGAAACATGTAAATTGACTATACCTCCGCTATGCCCACAGCCAATCAGGGTGAGCATGCAAATTAACCTAACAAAGATGGCGGTTAATTTGCATACATACCTGGGTCCCAGGAACCTCTTTGGCAGCCAGGTCACTCCCAGCTGGCCATTGGAGGGGTTGTGGCGGGGGGCCCTTCCCAAGCTGAAAGCCTCAGGTGGAGGCTTTAGACTTGGGCAGGGGCCGAACCTAGGATCAGAAGGAAGGAGGGAAAAATCAATGAAAACATATCCTCAGGTGAGGATAAAAAGAAAAATAAAGAAATGTCATATCCTATGAAAGACACATCTTGAAAATTCCTAAAGAAAGTCATTTTTTCATGGTGAAGGGACTGAAGTCCGTGTTGATGAAAATACCTTGGTGGCTGCGGTGACTGGCAGTGGCTGCAGCAGTGGGGTGATGGGGCTGGTGCCTGCCCCAGTCAGCCTGGTCGCCTCCTGCAAAGGGAAGCCAGACTGCAGCTTGGGTCCACTCCCATTGGGGAGCGGGCTTAAGCCATCCATAGGACATCCCTGCAGGCTCCCAATATGTGAGAGGAGGCAGGCTGGGCTGAGGGACCTCTCCCCAGTATACAAATTTTGTGCCCTGGGCCCCTAGTAAATAATAATATTCTGTGGGGGTTTTTTTGTGTGTTTTTTGAGAAGTGAAGGAGTTATGTCATATCAGACAAAACAAACAAACAAACACCAAAAACAACCATTCTTGGCAGAGAAGAAACTAACCCTCTTTTTTGGTTGCAGGTGATGAAAGCCATGAACAAGTCTAATGAGCATGTCCTGGCAGGAGGTGCCTGCTTCAATGAGAAGGCAGACTCTCATCTCGTGTGTGTACAGAATGATGATGGAAACTATCAGACCCAGGCCATCAGTATTCACAACCAGCCCAGGAAGGGTGAGTAGTTGTGCTGATGGAGATGATGAGAATGGAAGATTGTACTGCACTTGGAGATGGGATATCTTAGCCCCGTTACACTTACTTTCTAGAAGAGTGACCACAAACAACCTGATTAAGTTAACATTTCCAAGCTTATTTTCCAGGTTACATTGGCTCCCCCCTAGCCAGACACAGAATTGCAAATGGCGTATCTGTTATTGAGGAGAACATTCAAAAGTATTGCCTCAGGATATTGACAGGGCCAGATTGATATCTGGAGGTGGGAGGTGAGGCCCCATGGTGAAAATATATTTAGATTTGGGGTTTGTTGAATGACCATATTCAAAGAATGTTAATGAGTAGGTATGGAGGGAAGGTTTCTAGATTCAGAGGCACTTGGATTGTGATCTCATCACTTAGGAGACTGTTAGAAATGAAGAGTCCACACCCAGATCTGCTAAATCAGAATTTGCATTTTAACACAATCTCTGTGCAATTCAAATACACATTAGAATCTAAGAATCACTGCTTGGTGTGACATTTTCTCAAGTGTCTTATCAGGTTCTGTGGTTTTAAAACATCATAATATATAAGAAGCCAGGGGTCGCCACGACCGAAACAACCGGACAGATGACCGAACACAGCTGCATGGGGCGGCCAGGCAGGCAGGAGGGTTAGTGAGGGACAACCAAACAACTGAACAGCAGGCTGCGTTAGGTGACCCTGCTGATGGGGGAGGCAGTTGGGGGTGACCAAATTGGCCATGGGGCCATTTGGGGGCGACCAGGTTGGCAGGGGCATCAGTAAAGAGCGACCAGGCCAGCAGGAGGGGTTAGTTGGGGGTGACCAGGCCAGCAGAGAGTGGTGGTTAGGGGTGATCAGGCTGGCAGGGCGCGGGGGGCAGTTAGGGGCAATTAGGCTGGCAGGTGAGCAATTAGGAGCCAGCGGTCCCAGATTGTGAGAAGGATTGGAGAGAGTGCAGGCTGGGCTGAGGGCCTCCCCCCTCCAAATGCACGAATTTTTGTGCACCAGGCCTCTAATATTCATATAAATAGATCCAAGTCTTGCTTAATAAATTAAACTGAGAAATCCTGAGTTAAACCAGTTTAAGCAGATTTTAAAAGAACTACCGTTCTTTTTAGAGGCTTTAACAAGCCGATGTGTATTGTGATTCCAAGAGAAGGGTAGTGTGTAGTCTTTCCTAAATTTTTTTTACCGTAAATCTCTTTCCCCTCAAAATATCTCCTAAAACTAGCTTTCTTTAGTATGCTCTATGAAGCACTTCTCTAGAAGACATACTAAAGGACACTTTCTTTAATATATATTTAAAATCAGTTATTTAGTTAGTAAAGGTATTTAGCATATATATATTCAAATACCATATCCAAAATAAGGTGGGTGATAAGTCCACAGTGCTCCCTATTAGCCAAATCTTACTCAGAATCCTATATATAAAAGCCTGATATGCAAATTGACCGAATGGTGGAACGACTGGTGGAGTGACTGGCCACTATGCATCACACTGACTACCAGGGGGCAGATGCTCAATGCAGGAGCTGCCCCCAGCCCGCAGGCCAGGCCAGCCAAGGCAAGTGCCAGTGAGGACCCTCCCAGTCACCCCCCAGAGGGAGGCAACCAGGGGTGACCGTGGGGGATGGGCCAGTGAGCAGGCGGTATCAGGCCGGCCAAGGCGAGTGTCAGCGAGGGGCCCTCAATTGCCCCGCAGATTGGCCCTGATTGCTGATCAGGCCTAGGGACCCTACCTATGCATGAATTTTATGCACTGGGCCTCTAGTATTTAATAAGTTCTGGATATTATTAATGTAATTGATTATGTCCATTGGTAAAACTGGATCTACTTCAGAGGATGATTCAAGGTCTGTGAAAAAATCTGGGAACTAGGTCAAAGGAAGACATCTTTAGTGAAGTATGTTTTACTTGAAAAAGTACAAATAGCTGTCTTTAAGGTTTTCTCTTTTGTGTAGATAAGATTCAACTTACTCTGAATAGCTACAAAAGGCCGAAACCAGCACCATTGTGTGAAAGTAACAAGGATCTAGGTTTAGCTCAGTTTGCGAGCACTCTCCGTAACACGGAGAGTTACCCGGAAGCAGAATGGACTGCCGTGCGCTGTTGTGGGCTCCTTGTCAGGAGGAACCTCGACAAAGCTGGGTGGCCTGCCATTGGAAGTGCGGGGCCAGTGGGGAGGGAGCTGGAACAGCTCAGTCCAATTTAAGATGCGGGGAAATAGAGTGTAGAGAAGTTTTCATAAACCTAAATGGATTAAATAGCCTTTTATGAAGAGTCAGTGGTATCAGGTGTTTGTCTTTCAAATAGGTACTTGTGTTTTTAATAGCTCCACTCTGTAAATAAAATAGTCGGCAACCATATCTCAATATTCAAAACATATTTAACCTAAATACACACCGAGAAACCAGTGAATTTAGATCAGGGGTCAGAAGACTTTTTCTGTATATTTTAGGCTTTGCAGGCCTGCAGTCTTTGTTGACAACTACTCAACTCTGTGACATCATATTTCAAAAACTGCCATAGAAATGTGTATACGAATGGACATGGCTGTGTTCCAGTATAATTTTATTTATAAAAACAGGCTTCAGGCCAAGCCTAGGGCTTGACCATTAAGATTTCTTTGCCTGTAAAATTCTTTGATTCTCGATTGTAGAAAGAACAAAACAAAATGGGAGTGTGTATATTATTAAATATATATATATATATATATATATATATATATATATATATATATTTTTTTTTTTTTTTTTTTAATTGATTTCAGAGAGGAAGGGAGAGAGAGAGAGAAACATCAGTGATGAGAGAGAATCGGTGATTGGCTGTCTCCTGCACGCTCCCACACTGGGGATTGAGCTCATAACCCAGGCATGTGCCCTGATGGGGAATTGAACCAGGACCTCCTGTTTCATAGGTCAATGCTCAACTACTGAGCCACACTAACTGGGTGGGAGCATGTGTCTTAAAATCTCATCCCCAGCCTGTCATAAGCATCAGAATTATTGGTTACTTGTATAGAGTTGGTGTTTCTTGTCTTCTGGATGATGATGGTTGGAGTTCCCAATGACTACATATTTTATTATTGTTCTCTGTCTCTCAATCTCAGGGTCTGTCTTTACTAAACGATTTCTTTTGTTGTTTTAGTGACTGGTGCCAGTTTCTTTGTGTTCAGTGGCGCTCTGAAATCCTCTTCAGGCTATCTTGCCAAGTCCAGTATTGTGGAAGGTAAAGAATGACTTACTTACTGCCTATTTGTACAATCGAAAAGCAAAGGATACTAAAGGAAACTTTGACATTTTTGCCAGAATTCTGGACTCATTATTTATTCCATAGCATCTCATTCTTCAGCTTTTTAAAGCTATCATAATAGTGGTTAGTTCTCCAAAAGAAGGAAGAAAGTGATAGAGGTACTGTGAGTCAGTGTTCTTAGAACTACACTGCACAGAAGCGGGGTTAGGAGGGAATACATGTGTATGGAATGGCACTAGTTATTTAAGAGAAGGCCTTTCAGAGCTTTGGGATAAGGTACCCAAGGGGACATAGTCTAAGTTTAAATATATCACTGGGTGCAAATCTGTACACATGTGGATGAAGTTCAGTCCCTGTTACCCACAAGAATGTTGCAATCATTTGGAATAAGGAGAAACTCTGTTGTGTCTGAAGTGAAATCAACAGGCAAGTGTTTTAAATAGAACACGTCTCGGCACTCGCTCTTCATAGCACTTTCAGAAAGGAAGAGCTCAGCTCAGAGCAAACACCTGCTGTGTCTGTCTGCTCTAGAGGGCAGTTTCACGTTTAATTTAGAGGGCTTTGCTAGGTTCCAGGTCCGTTTCTCACTGCCCCCTCCCTGGCTTTTCATTGTTTTCATCGGTATTGTCTCGTGCTGATTCTCAGATGGCGTCATGGTCCAGATCACTGCGGAGAACATGGATGCCTTGAGGCAGGCGCTGCGAGAGATGAAGGACTTCACCATCACCTGTGGCAAGGCAGACGCCGAGGACCCCCAGGAGCACATCCACATCCAGTGGGTGGATGACGACAAGAACGTCAACAAGGGGTAAAGGCAGCAAACTCCCCCTGAGGCATGTAGTTACTGCGGGGCTCTGGGTCTGTCTGGCTGATGTGTTACAACTTCCCTGGAGGCCCTGCCTGAGAGACTGCTTGGCAGGCACCACGCAGAATTTTAAATTCCTGGCTTCCTGGCTTCATTTCTGAAGGAGTTTCTGTGCATATTTTTGAAGGGAGGAAACTTTGTTTTACAAAACAATTTCTCTAAAGTTATTGAGAAAATAGTAGTAATTAAGCTTTGTATGGTTTGCAAAACACTTTTATAATATTGTTTAATTTGATAGAACTGGTGTTATCCCAGTATCACAGAGGAAGGAGTAAGGAAGCACCAGAAGGCCAACCGCCTCCACGAAGTGAGGGAGTGGCCGGCGAGGACCGCCGCCCTGGGCTGAGGTGCCGTCCTCTGTCCCGGTCAGGGCAGCTCTTGTTCGGAAGGTTCAGGCCCAAACCTTGGAGTATCTCAGGCCCTATACCTAATCTAACAGTGGATGCTGTTAGCTTTTCTTCATAGAATATGTCGTAGACTCTTACTACTGCTGCATCCTACCTCCGCCACCATCATCCCAGTTCAGGCCACCATTGTTGGTTCCGCGTTATTGCAGTAGCCTCCTAATTGCTTTCTTTATTTCTAGTCTTTACCTGTTCCCTCTTCCCAGCCTAATCAGTTTCTAATTCTACAGTGTTGCTCCTCTGCTCAAAACCTACCACTGGCTGCCATTATCATTCAGGGTCAAAACCAAAGTCTTTGCAACCTCTGAGGCCTTACACAGCCTGCGTCCCCCTGCCCCACTCTTACTTCTCAGAAGCAACTCCTGCCTTCTTGCGGGGACACGGCAACTAGACTTCTGTCCTGGCACTTGCTGTTCTCTCAGCTTATACTTTGCCCCTGGGAAGCCACCTGAGTCGCTCCTTCACTGCCTTCAAAATTTTCTAAAATATAACTTTCTCGGAAAGGCCTTCTGTGGCCAACCTATCTAAATAATAACCCTGTCGTACACATCTCTTTCCTCCCACCCCCCAATCATATCCCCCTTCTGTGCAGAATAGTTCTAAGAGCACTTATAAGTTTCTAACAGACAAAAATTTTTACTTATTATATTGTCCCTGGGATGTAAGCTCCATGAGGACAGGGACTTTTGTCTGGTTTATTTACTGCCATCAGTATATTGCCAGCACCCAAAGCACTGTCTGGTACCTAGCAGGTACTTTAGAAATTGATTGAATAAATGAATTGTTATTCATTGTTATTAAGCTCATTGTTATTAAGCTTTATCCCATCCACTTTCTATCCATCACCCATCCATCCTTTAGGCAATAATAATCCCACTTGTGGAGATACAAATATGAATTACACGTGGTTCCAGCTGATAAGTGGCTCAGTCTTGTTTTGAAATAGTTATAAGTGCATCGAAGGATGGAAAATGCTCATAGAAAACACTGTAGGATGCAGTGAAGGTTTAAAAAAAAGGAAAGTGGAAGGTTGGCAGAGGTTGTGGGGAGCATTCAAGGACGATTCCATAGAGAAATGGCTGCTGGTGTAGCTGAACCTGGTAGGATGGGTGGGAATTTGCCACATGGCTCTGGCAGAGGAGGCCTTCCACCGGCGGGAATAGCAGAGCCAAAGGTAGACAAAGGGCATTTACAACATGGACAAACACACACTGAGCAGAAAGAAGCAATTTCTAAATCGTTGAGTGCATTTGACTGTTTTACGAATAATCCTCTATCTTCCCATACTTCACTGGCAAATTTAATTTCAAAATCAGTTTAATTCTCCACTACAGTTGGAAATGAACATGATTATTAGGACCAAAAAATTGATCATCTGAAAATCTGATGCCATAACATATTGGTAACTAAAAACAAGCAGGTGGCTTATTTCTACAAGTGCCATTGGCAGCGTCTTTGGAAACAGGACAGGAACTAGTCACGGAGACTCTGGAACTCGAGACTGTAGTCTGTAGTATACAAATGGAACATTTTCCACCTTGTCCCTCTGTCTGGGTACCCTCTCTCAAAAGAGTACTCATCCACTAAGAGTGTTCTTTCTGATGAGTTAACAATTAAACTTAACATTGTTTAAACAATTATGATCAAGTGAATGAAGTGAATCCCTGATTTTGAAGTTTAACTTAAATTTCATCTTACATACATAGAGATTGAAAAACATAAGCAGATTTGAAAATTGTTAGGAAGAGTTTGGAATCCTTGTGATTCCACTGTTAAACGTTATCACCAATGAGTATATATCTCCAGTTATTTATACTTGTTATATTTTGGAGAGGAAATGACTATAAAAAGTGGGCCTTTCTATTCAGGAATCTAGGAATGATAATTTAGCGTCAAAGGGAATTTGTTGTGATAAATAGATACTTGTTCACCAGTTCACATCAACACTGTCATAATGAATATACTCGGTTAAATATTTTAATCAGCAAACATTTATTAAACTCCTATGTTCCAAGTACTGTGTTCGAACTGAAAATATAGCACACAAAGGTGAACATATCATATTCCTCCCCTTCAGAAGTTCATTTGTAAGACGAATACACAAAATGTATGGTGAGTATGACGTGATGGGTGTCGTTCTTGTCAGGAGCAGAGTGCTGTGACAGAGCAGAGGGGAGAGCAGAATTGAAGGGGGGTGGCTGTACATCCCCCGAAGGAAGGAATGCTGCAAGAAGGGAGCAGGCTTGAGTAAAGAGTTCTTCATATTAAAATAACCAGCTCCTAGAATCATGAGTCCTTTGTGTGTGTGTTCTTTGAATTATTTTAGTGAGCCCTTCCCATGAACACTCTGTTCATACATGTTCATGTAGTGGCTTCTTGCTATGATATGTTGATCAGATGTGTTTGGTAAGGTGCCCGGTGTCACTAATTGCAAAATTTGTTAAGAGAAGTGGCTCTTCTGACTTCCAGAGCTGCTTCCATCTCTTTTCTTTGTTTCTATTTTAGTGTCATAAGTCCCATAGATGGGAAGTTAATGGAGTCTATAACAAGTGTGAAGATATTCCACGGGTCAGAGTATAAAGCAAATGGAAAAGTCATCAGATGGACTGAGGTAAGGAAATAAAACTTGGCATTCTTAACCCGCTTTGAGCACAACTTTTGCTAGGTCCAGAGACACATCTGGCCTGATTCTGGAGGATAAGGGGGGAAAAAGTCCGTCTTCTATACTGCAGTTCCCCCTGGTCTGTCTGAGCTCACCGGTAAGAAATGCCCCCAAGTGCAGGCCGCAGCCTATGTCTGCTCCTGCCTGTGCACAGCTGTCAGGGGTCTGTTTGCACTGGAATTCACAAAGAAGACATCTTTGAATGGTACATACCACCTTTGCTGTATGAGTTAGAAAGCTGGGCTAGTTATGCTGCACTCCCAGTTAAACTATCTTAGATAACACGGTCTTTAAGAGTTAACTCATTTCATCAATAGAAAACTAGTGTGTCAACTATAATTTAAAAAGAACAAAAGAAAACTAAAGTTTGGAGACTGAGTAGCTTGTCCAAACTTACATGGCAAATAGTAATGTCAGAGTCCTGATTCAAACCCAGATCCGGGCAGCTCCTAAGCTCTTTCCCGCTGTGTTGTCTCTGAACTCGAAAGCTGTATTAGATAGAGGCTGATCTGGGGCAAGAGGAGCAGGGCAGAGACCCTGTGTGTGTGCATCTCAGACAAATCAGAGTTTATTTGCTAGGTCTCCCAATTTGTTTTGAACCTTATTTATACTTACCTATAAAATACACTATTAAGTTAAAGATCTCTAAGATTCCTTGCAACTGTGGAAGTAATTTTTTTTTTTTTTAAGTTCTGTGATTTCTAGCTTTTCTCTTTTACACACAAGTTAACCGAGGCAGGAGAGGCCAAGTGCCTTACCCAAGGTCACATAGCTGGTTCCTGATAGCAGAGACTTTAGTCTGGTTCTGCAGTTCTTGAGCTGTTGTTGCAAGTGATGTGTCCTTCATACCATGCCCAGAGTTTTCATACACAGCTCAGAGTCTTACCTGCTTGCTTTATGACTATTCCTTTGATATATTTTGAGCAGTTCAGACACTGGAACATAAAACTCTTACTGCTTATAAAATAGTTTGACCTTCGTTCCCTCCTTTTTGCTCCCTAGTAACCCATTGAGGCACGGTGGCGACCATTAATTTGCATAGTGAGAAAGGCTCTGAAAGGCTGTGAGACTGGCCTGCCTGATGCTAGTTACTGAGCAGAGGCCACGGCCTCCTGACTCCCACTCTTCCCCTCTTTCCATGCTGGCCCTCTCACCCGTCAGAGGGCTTCAGAGCTGACTCCTCTTAGTATTCTTGGTATAAGCTTATTGAGCACTAGGCTAGAGGCTGGTATATATAAACCCATTTTGCTAATATATAATTTTTTATAGTAACTAGAGCAGACAGATGCTTTCCATTTTATAAACCCAGATTGGGCATTCAGAAGCCAAAGGACTTGTTCATCACCTTCCTCCATGCGACTAGGTCTCAGGTCTCTCAGTTCCAAATTTGCTATGTTCTCCCTATGCCCAGTGCGTGCACACTGGCATAGCTCTGGCCTCAGCAAAGGCGAAGCTACACTAGTATGGTGGCGAAAAGTGTGTAATAGACAGAAGACCTGGATTCTGGGCTTACGTCTGTCTCTGTCTCTAAATACTTACATACACTTGGGTGAATCACCTCCCTTCTATATGTAATCTGTAATATGAAGGGTTTGGGCCACAAAAGCTGTTAGGAGCCATTCTCTTAGATTGTAAGATCAGTTCCTAAGAAAATCGTCCACATACAGGTTTTGAGTAGAATGTACCAGGATGACCCTGACTATGGCTTCCAGGGAAAACGGCAGGTTGCTGCTACCATTTTGTAGATTCAGAGACTGAGATTGTTTCTTGGATGTAAGATGTCAGTGCCCCACTTTTGTCCCAGGGACTTTGAGGTACCCTGTCAGGACTCTGCACACCTCCACAAATCAGGGTGCTCTCGCACAGTGAGCCGGTGCATTCTCCTCCCACATCTCCTGGCACGAGGTGAAGTCTCTTTCGTTTGGGGAACAGGTGTTTTTCCTAGAAAATGACGACCAGCACAGTTGCCTGAGTGATCCAGCAGATCATAGCCGGCTGACTGAGCACATCGCCAAGGCTTTCTGCCTTGCTCTCTGTCCCCACCTGAAGCTCCTGAAGGAAGATGGAATGACTAAACTGGGACTTCGTGTGACACTGGACTCGGATCAGGTAAGGAGATCCTTAGGCAGCCTGGGGAGCTGGCCTGGGGAGCTTCTGCTTTCTGACAGGTGAGCTTCCCTGCATCAGCCAGAGTTCCTTTGGACCCTGGGTCTGACCAGATGTAGTGTCCTGGCCTTCCCTCTATTAAAAATACACCCTGATGTGCTGTTCCATCAGACTGAATTGTTTGAACTTTGGCTTCCTCACCTGAAAATGTTCCAAGGACTTTAGGGTTTAGGAGTGTGTGTGATCTGCCACCCCGAGTGCATGACATCGATGCTGCCCATTGAGACTCAGTCTCACCCTTCAGGGGTACATGCCCTTGACTGGAATCGAACCTGGGACCTTTCAATCCGCAGACCAACACTCTACCACTGAGCCAAACCGGTCTCGGCAATATAGGTGTATTTTTGACTGCACAAGGGGTCAGTAACTCCCCTGTCGTTCAAAGGTCAACTGTATATATAATGAAATATTATTCAGCCATAAAAAGAAATGAAGTACTGATACATGTTACACTATGGAAGAGCTTAAATGTTATTCTAAGTGAAAAAAGCCAGACATAGGGCTACATAGTGTAAGGTTTTATTGATATGAACCATCCAGAATAAATGCGTGGAGACAGAGTGTGGATTGGTATTTGGAGAGGGAGTGAGGAGACACTGGTTCACAAACAAGGGTTTTACTTCGGGTGATGGGACCAATTTGGAACTGGGTAAGAGGGTGGTTGCCCAATATTGTGAATGTATTAAGTACCACTGAACTTCTCACTTTAAAATGGTTAACTTTATGTCATGTAAATTTCACTTCAGTAAGGTGTGTGTTTTTTTCTAGTGTATTGATACAGGAATATAAAAGGTATCCAGATACTCGTGTGGTGTTTTTCACACTGTGGGTAATACAGTTTATAACAGTTTATAAAGAAGGATAGGGAAGTAAAACAAAAGACAAATTTTGGATTAGTTTTTCAAAAGATTGAAGCCATTTTAAAGGATTGGATCAGAAATTTGGACAAATGGGATGGCATGAAAGAAAAAATGGGAAATAAAAATTATTATTAGCCTTTTTCAACCAGAAGCCAGAGTCTCAGCATCAAGATAATAATAAGTTCAGATTTGTTTATTAGACACAAAATGGTGTGCTCTGAATTTTTAGGTTAACTTCAGAATTATTTAAAATATTTTGATAAGAGCAAAGCAAATATTGGTAAATGACTCATTGAAGATGTCAGGCATAAATTAGTAAAACTGAGAAACAGTGGAGTTTACATCTTTTAGAGGAAAGGCCTCCTTAGGATGCAGGTGGAAAAAGAAGGCAGGTATGCTTCAATATGGGACATTCTTCTGACTTAGAATTTCAGTTTATGTCTTCAGAGAATCCATTGAATAATAGAAACTACTGAAGTTAGCTAAACTAATTTTATTTTATTTTATTTGTTTATTTATTTATTTATTTAATATATTTTATTGATTTTGTACAGAGAGGAAGAGAGAGAGAGAGAGAATTAGAAACATCGATGAGAGAGAGTCATCGATCAGCCACCTCTTGCACCACCCCACTGGGGATATGCCCTCAACCAAGGTACATGCCCTTGACCGGAATTGAACCCGGGTCCCTTCAGTCCCCAAGCCGACACTTATCCATTGAGCCAAACCGGTTTTGGCTGGCTAAACTAATTTTAGTTGCTTGTGTTCAGTGCAGCAATAAAAGACAAAAGAATGCAAAAATGTGTCATATGTCTGTTATAATATGAGTCACCTATAAACTATACAGGGAATTTTTGTGTGTTGATTTTTGGGCTAACAGTGACTGATTTTTCACAGCCCCGTTATTACTGTAACCTTACCTAATAATAAAGAAACATGTAAATTGACCATACCTCCGCTATGCCCACAGCCAATCAGAATGAGCATGGCAAATTAACCTAACAAAGATGGCGGTTAATTTGCATACATACCTGGGTCCCAGGAACCTTTTTGGCACCCAGGTCACTCCCAGCTGGCCATTGGAGGGGTTGTGGCGGGGGGGCCCTTCCCAAGCTGAAAGCCTCAGGTGGAGGCTTTAGACTTGGGGTCATTCTGCCCATTAAGAGAGCAGGTTCCAGCTGTCCTTTGTCCTGTTGACCACAGCAGGCCTCTACTGACTGGCCTCTGCAGCTCCCCCTCCTTCAAGTTTTCTGTGAACCTTTCCATGTTTGTTAGTAGATCGGACTTGAGCTATTTTCCCATTAATTTCCCTGTCAGCTCAGGTCTCCTATGGTCAAGTTTCTCTCCCTTTCTTATTCAGATTTTTTGGTATGCTGTTAATAGCAATAATCCATTAAAATTTTTAAAATTGATTTTGGAGGAGATAATAGAAACATCAATGATAGAGAATCATTGATTGGCTGCCTCCTGCATGCCCTTCCACTGGGGATTCAGCCCACAACTCAGGCTTGTGCCCTGACTGGGAATTGAACTATGACCTCCTGGTTCATAGGTTGGTACTCAACCACTGAGCCATGCCACCCAGGCAGCAATAATACATTCTTAGCATATGTGGCCCCCCATCCCCAACCCCACCCCCACCCCAAGTCCCTTGTCCCTTTGCTTCTCTCCTATGCCCTAGCATCTAATCTCTCTATAAGACATAACTGATACATGGTGGATTCCACTGCAGGCGATAGCAATAAGTGACTATTGCAATAAATGAACTTTGTTTCCCAGTGCATATAGAAGTTACATTTACACTGTACTGTAGTCTGTTAAACAGTGTTCAGTAGTAGTATGTCTAAAATCAATGTGCACACCTTACTAAAAAGTACTTTATTCCCCTCACTGGTTTGGCTCAATGGATAGAGCATCGGACTAAGGACTGAAGGGTCCCAGGTTTGATTCTAGTCAAGTGCACATGCCCAGGTTTGAGGCTTGATCCCCAGTAAGGGGTGTGCAGGAGGCAGCCAATCAGTGATTCTCATCATTGATGTTTCTCTCTCCTTCCTCTCTGAAATCAATAATATAAAAAATACTTTATTGATAAAAAATTCTTTCAGTGAGTCAAAATCTTTTTGCTGGGGGAGGGTCTTGACTCAGTGTTGATGGCTGTTGACTGTTCAGGGTGGGGGCTGCTGAAGATGGTGGCTGAGGCAATTTCTTATGATAATGAAGCTTGATGATTGACTTCCTTTCACGAATGATTTCTCTGTAATGTGTGATACTGTTTGATAGCATTTTACCCACAAAACTACTTTCAGAATTAGTCCTGTCAGACCCTGTCACTGCTTCATCAACTAAGTTATGAAATACTCTAGATCCTTTGTTGCCTTTCAAGTTTTCACACCAGGGGTAGATTAGTTTCTTTACGTAAGAAGCAGCTCCTCCTCCATTAAAGTTTTATCTTGAGATCGCAGCAGTTCAGTCACCCCTCAGGTACCACTTCTAATGCTAGATTTCTTGCTGTTCCCGCCACATGTGCTTATTATTTCCTCCACTAAACTCCTCAATCATGCAACTTTTTCCGTAACTCCTATTAATGTTGATATTTTGACCTGTTTCCATGAATCACAAATGTTCTTAATGGCACTTAGAATAGTGAATTCTTTCCAGAAGATTTTTAATTTCCTTTGTCCAGATCCATCAAAGTAGTCTCTTATCTATGGCAGATACAAAATGTATTTCTTAAAAAGTCAGACTTGAAAGTCTAAGTTACTTCTTGACCCATAATGGATGGGTTAGCAGACATTAAAACATTAATCTATTGTATATCACCATCAGAGCTCTCCTGTGACCAGATCCATTGTCAGTGAGCAGTAATATTTTAAAAGGAGTCTGGGTAGTAGGTCTAGACAGTGGGCTTAAAATACTCAGTAAACAGATATATTGTTATCCAGGCTTTGTTGTTCCACAGGCAAAATAGATGAGCATAATTGTTAAGGAGCCTAGGATTCTCGGAATGGTAAATGAGCATTGGCTTCAACTTAAAAGTCACAGGCTGCATGGCCCTGCCCTTTGAAGCCAGGCATCGACTTCTCTCTAGCTATGGAAGCCCCAGATGGCATGTTCTCCCAATATAAGGCTGTTTTGTCTCCATTTAATGTAGCCACCTTCACTAATTATCTCAGCTAGATCTTCTGGATAATTTGCAACAGTACTTACTGCTTCACCTTGAACTTTGTTACGGAGATAGCTGCTTTTCCGTAAACTCATAAACCAACCTGTTAGCTTCCAACTTTTTTTTTAGCTGCTTCCTCGCCTCTCTCAGCGCCAAAGAATTGAAGAATTGGGGCCTTGCTCTGGATTAGGCTTTGACTTGAGGGAATGTTGTGGCTGGTTTGATCTTCGATTCAGACCATTAAAACTTCATATCGGCAGTAAGGCTGCTTCACTTTAGCACTGGCGTATTTTTTAACTTCCTTCAAGAACTTTTCCTTTGCATTCATAGCATGACCATAGGGTGCAAGAGGCCTACCTTTGGATGTGCCTTCTTCACTTGTTCATTTCTAGCTTTTGGTTTAAAGTGAAAGATGGGAGACTCTTCCCTTTACTTGAATATATACAAGGCATTTTAGGGTTATTAATTGGCCTAATTTGAATATTGTTGTGTCTCTAGGGAGGCCTGAGGAGAGGAAGAGAGATGGGGTATTGGCCAGTCATTGTAGCCGCCAGAACACACATTTATTGGTTAAATTCGCAGTCTTATGGGTGTAGTTTGTGACACCCCTAAATAATCACAATAGCAACATCAAAGATCACTGATCGAAGATCACCATAACAAATGTAATAAAGTTTGAAATGCCTCTAGGATTACCAAAATGGGACAGAGACACAAGGTGAGCAAATGCTGTTGGAAAATGGTGATTGATAAGACTTGCTTGATGCAGGGTTGCTACAGTCCTTCGATTTGTAAAAAACTCAGTATCTACGAAGCACAGTAAAGCAAAGCCTGTACATTTCTTTTGGGTTTTGGATCCCTGGAACAGGTTCATGTTCCTGTTTAGATGCAGTTGTGTTATTAGGGAAAATGTGGGCGATTATATATCTGGCTCCATTTCCTAACTAGTCGTCCATCAAGAATGGATGTGTTTTGTACTTAACGTCTTTCCCCATGCTATACTAAGCATAGCAGAGTAATACAGATGAGGTGTCATGTTTTTTGGTCAAATGGTACCAGTAATCTGGAGTTACTTCACATAAAACAATTAAAAAAACAAGAATTTCTCACTGATGAGTGGGCCTTTTGTGGGCCAAGGCCCTGTTCCATTCACCTTTGAATTACCTGCGTTAGTAGACACTCAAAATATGGTGTGGGGCCAGATGGTTGTCCCATTTTGATTTTCACAGCCATAGGTTTAGGTTTTATTTTTGACATTCCCTGCCTCTCCACAGCACCTCAGTCCCTTCTTGGGGAACTAAGACCTTACCAGGTTAAGTGTCTTAAGAGCCCATGGGCTCGTGGCTACCAAGTGTTAGGGTCAGGATGAAAAATGACAGCTGAGGGAAGAGAAGGGGAAATTGTGTTAACTGCTGTGTGTCTAGTCCTTGGTCAGGAAGCCCATCTCCCTTCCTGCTCAGCCTCCTTGGCCCTCAGCTCCCTGATCTTTTCTACCCAGTAACTTGTCATCCCTCTCCCTCTGGTATAGGTTGGCTACCAAGCAGGGAGCAATGGCCAGCCGCTTCCCTCGCAGTACATGAATGACCTGGACAGCGCTCTGGTGCCAGTGATCCATGGAGGGGCCTGCCAGCTCAGCGAGGGCCCCATCGTCATGGAGCTCATCTTTTACATTCTGGAGAACATCGCCTAGACAGAGGACTTCGTGGTTTTTCTGTTCAGACCTGCTGCAACAGAAGTCATACTCAAGTCATTTGCACTTTAGAACTGGAGGATTAAGCTTTTGTTAACACTATTAATTGGGGGGAGGGGAGTGGGGTTTTGGGGACGAGGGTGGTTGGGGGGACAGATATTCCATAATTCTAAGTCTTCTATGCATTGTCCACAAGATCCGGGCAGCTTCCATAACTGCACCACCGTTATACTATCCTTGCAGCTAAATCCCCTTCTGTTACTGTTGAAACAAGAATTCTGCTCCTGTTTTAAGACTCATTTATGGTCTTGTGCTCAGAAATGATCAAATGGGTACAACCATCACCAAGGGTGGGGTGGGAGGGCAGAGAGGAAATAAAAAATGAAGCATCAGTCTTGTACTCTTTGTACAGAATTGATACAAAAAGGATCACACACTGAACTTTTTCCATTTGTATCCCAGTAACTTCAAGTAGAAGTCACCTTTACATTTTTGTTTGTTTTTACCAGATTACCCAACGGATTATCCCTCTCCTAGCCGAGGAAGGGCAGCTCAGTGTGAGTGAGGTGACTTCGGATAGCAGAGCCGAGTTGAGGATTGCTCAAGCTCTGCCCCAGTGAATGGCAGGTATTGAATTGGGCCTTTCGGTGAAAGCTGACAATATACCCAAGGCATTTTTAGTTACAATATACACTAGATGTATTTTTTAAAATGTTACTGAGAAATAATTTAAACTCCCAAGAAAATTGCAAATAAAAAAAAGCCCTATGTATACTTTGTCTAGATTCACCTATTGTTACAATTAACACTTTTGCCCATTTGCGTTATTAGTGTCTCTCCACAAAAAAATGGAGACATTTGAGAGTAAGTTGCATAGCTAATAGCTCTTTACCCCTAAATACTTTAATGCTTATTTCCTAAAATTAAAGACATTTTCTTCCATTACAGCAGGACAGTTCGCAACATGAGTCAATTTACCGTTGATATACCAGCTACCTTACTCTAGCATCTATCTATAGTGTCCCTCACGGCATTTCCCCTTCCGGTAAAGCTTCTCGCCTGGGATCAGACAAGGCAAATAGCTTTACTGACCCACCTGTATCTTTTATGTCCTCCATACTTTTGATGAGTATAGTTCCCTTACCTAATTTTTTAAATTTGATGGGTATCTTTCCATAATTAGAATCAGTTTATGCATTCTTGGCCAGAATCCTAAGTGATGTGTGCACCTGTTCAGTGTTGTCCAATTTTCCCAGTTCCCTGCCCCCCTTGGAATGAATAACCAATGTGTACAGACACTTTCAGATCATGCAAATACCTTACTCATCAAAATTTCCCTTAAGATTTAGCACCCACGGATGTTTCTTATCCGAACTGATCTTTTACTGTGATGGCTACAGATTTTTCAATTCCAGAACTCCCTCCACCTTTACAAGTTGTACTTGGTCAATATAAGCAAAAGCTCTTCCTTCTTTCCTATTTACGTATTCGCTTAATTAATTTTCATGGTGGACTTGTGGGTTACATTTTGGAAGGTTCTAACCCATTATTTGGGTACTCAGCGCAGCTGTGGCCATAGAGCACTCCTGCTAGGTAGCTCGTCCATCCTTGTGAAATACTCCATCATTTTTTTGAACACTTTGCTTTCTGGCCTAACAAGATTCTCCATGCTCATCTAGTGCTCACGCTGCCCCAGCCTGGGAATCAGCCATGGTTTCTTTTAGTGATATTAGAAACCAAGGTTTGGTTTATCCATGATATATGTGATGAAGTCAAAGTACTTTCTTTTTCACTAAAAATTTATTCTGGTCACAGACCTAATGGATTTCACAGCCCAAAGTTTGAAAAGCACAGCTCTAAGGTGACTCACTCTCTTATCACTGTTATCTTCTGAAAGCCCAGGCCAAGCAGCAGATGGTCCCTCTCTGTAAGCACAGCTCTGAGAATCCTCTGGCTGCTAGTGCAGGCCTCTGGGACAGGGCGAGGCTGCTTCCCAGTGGTTAGAGCTGGCTTAGCACTTGGCAATTAAAGGCCGTGGAGCTGTTTAAGCAGCCGTTTTCCAAACAGGCCCACAAACCTGGCCTTCAGTTTGAAGTATGTCTGCCTATGTTTATCCCTTCTCCATGGTGGTGGTGGTGGATCCACATTCTGTACCGTCTCTCCATACGCTTTGCTGGTCGTGGCTGCAGGGAACTGTGATTGTAACCTTTTTGCACAGGCTGAGGCACCCAGAGCTTCTAAGGGAAGAGTAGATGCCCAAAGGACACCAGCATGTACTGAGCCTTGGGACCACACATCCCTCCAAAACCTGATAGGAATGCTTAATAGGGCAGGGATTTGGGGTGTAACCTCCAGCTTGGTCTAAATACACCTTGGAAATTTGGAGCTTCTACAAACGCTGGTCCCATTTTTTCCTACAGAAATTTATCTTTCCCCCTATTCAGTTAATTATACCTTGCAATGAACATATTACTTCTGGATCAGTGCAGACTTTAAAATTCTCCCACTGAGGACAGACTCTTGGCCCTGCAGAGTCAGGTCCATTCTCAATTTTCATAAAACATCTTGTGGAACGGGGCATACTAGAGCCAGGGCTAGTTTACCACCCTCCACTTGCTTTGTCTTTGTATTGTCTATAGTATATTGTAATAGTTATACAGAGAGCTGAAACACATTTATAAATATGTCAAATTTTTCTAGAACACAAACTTAAAGATTGGCATATAGAGATCCTTACAAACTGAAGAGGGATAGGCTTGCCATTATGGTAACATTAAATTTTTAAAAATTATTGCATCCTTACCAAATGCTGACAAGGTGTTTCTCCATTTATTTTTATCAACACTTTCTGAGCATCTACTGGGCTCTAGAAAGATAGGATGTTACCTTGTGTATGTTCCGTTCTAGTATCTTCCCTCATCCAGTGGTTCCTGAATGCTGGTGGGCTCACCATTTCCAACTAAACTTACTTCTGTCATAATTAGTCACCAGAGAAAGTTTATGCATTCAACGCATTCAGACAATCAAGCAATCTGCTGAACACTTTTTATGTTGTTCCATTTTAATAGCAATGTTAAAATAATTTAAACGGTAATGGGACTTTTAGGAATCGTACCTGCAGCCTGAAGGCTAAGGGGTGGAGCAGGAATGATAATGCCACTCGGGAGTTTGGGAAGCTGAGGCCCACGGGAAGAGTTGGGGGAAGTTCTCGGAGCTGGACCAGGTACCAGCTCCCTGGCTCCCCCAGCCTCAGTCCCAGTTTCATCTTAAATGGAGCTGCCTATGCAAGGGGCAAGATTTTTGAGAACTACCCACAAAATTCAGAAAACAAGCTTTCAACAACGGTGGTATAAGAAAGGAAAATAATGTTAAAAGCCACAAAATAGTTTGCCCTTTGTGAGCAAGACTTTCTCTGAAAAATTACTTCTGTATTATATTTAGTTCACTAATTCAGAAGAAAGCATGCCTTGCACTAAAGAGAACTTACAATTTAGAAATAATTTGGGTCACGGCAGCTTCTCTGCCCCTGAGTCCTAATCTGTTTGGTTTCTGCATTTGGACACAGGTCAGGATGAGGCGAGGCTGGGCAGGCTCCTCCCACTCGCGACCCCTGCGGCCCTGGCTGCCACAAAGGCCCCTTCAGAGCCTGTCTCCAGTCCAGGGGGCGCTTTGTCTCGCCTTCCTCGGCCTGGAGGTTTTGTTTTTCAAAAAGCAAGGAGCAGTGAAGGAGACTAGAACTGGCCAGGTTGCAACAGGAAATCTGTGAGGCGCAGAACACTCCTACCAATTGGAACAGGCGTTTCCAGCAGAGGCCCGAGGTTAGGGATTCCGATGGTTGGAGCCTCTGAGGGTAACCATAGCTGTCCTTGCCCTCTTAGCAAGCACTGGTTGTGATACAAACCCTTCTTTGCCCTAGGCCACCTTAGGAAGGCTAACAACCCTTCTTTCATTCTAGATTTCTGCTGCTCTGACACACAGATGTAACTACAGTCGTGTTAAATCTCACATCTGTAGAAATTTGGGTAGTTTACGCTAATGGCTAAATAAGTCTGGTCAGAAGCTCTTGGAAAAAAAGTCTTTTGTCCTTCCTGCTGTTACCTTCTAAAATATTTGCTACAAGGGCAGGGAAGCACGGTCCAGCCCACACAAAAACGTAATCCCTGAGCTGTGCTTACACAGTGCTGTAGTGACCAGTGAGCTGAATGTATCTGCTTCACTTAGAGCCTTTAAAAATGACCTCAAGGAATGCTTTGTCTAACTTAAGCTAATGCTTAAAAATGGGTGTGGGGGAGAGGGAATGGATGTTAAAGTTTATTTCTAAGAAATGTAGAATACTGCAGTTTTGAATATTAAATTTATTGCAACTATAAATCCCTCCGTCTCCATCCATTCAGAAGAAGAAAGCCAAAGGAGAGTTTCTTGGGAGAACGAAAGGGATTTCCCTCAGTGATCAGCTGAAGAGGCGGGGCTTCCTCTGCCCTCTGAGGAGGAAGCCACAGCAGCAGTTCCTGCCGTTAAATGTTACTGCTACGCAGGCCTTTCAGAAGTGATACCGTTTCCCCAAAATAAGACAGTGTCTTATATTAATTTTTCCTCCCAAAGTTGCGCTAGGTCTTATTTTCAGGGGATGTCTTATTTTTCCATGTGCTAGGTCTTATTTTCGGAGGAAGTCTTCTTTTCGGGGAAACACGGTAGGACTTTTGATTAGGATTTTGATGGTTACCCTGAACTTAGGGCATAAAACCCCTATAAGTGAATTAGACGTAGTTTGTTAAAGGTACATTTTTGTATCCCCCCCAGTTAGCAGTCTTTTTGTGTTAGGTGCACAGACCGAACCCAAGGTACAGCCTTGCCTACTTCCCACCAGATAGTCCAAAACGTAACTCCCTTCCTCCATGAGAGCTGGGAGCAGGCAGCTAGTGCAGCAGCTGTCAGGGAACAAGGCACAGGCAGAGCGAGCGTGAACCGAGCTGTGGCACAGACCACGGACGACCGAGTCACGGAACCTGCACCACCCCAAGCCGGGGAGTTTCCATCACTCTCGGTTCTCCCGTCCTTTACAGTCACATCTTTTAAAGGCACATTCAGAAATGTTGCAACTAGGGGCTAAGGTAAGCTGCACACAGTAGCCACACGGGTTTAGGGGCTGCAAGGCTCCATGGCACAGAGCAATGAGGCTTTCCTTGCTTTTGCCCAGAGGGAAGGGAAAGCAGCTCCCGGAATCCGCCTGCTTTGGTGTGGAGGCCCAGGAAGGGGTCAGCTACAGGAGGGACCAGGGCGTGGTCAGTAATGTACGTACGTACATACGTACAGGTCTTTGGTGTTTGTGTAGCAGCATCTCACTCCCTATGTACAAAGGCTTCTGTAGCCAGCAAAGCTGGGAAAGGATGCTTCTGCACACAGCCGCTGGCCTGACCACTCCCAGCGCTGACTATCTGAAGCACAGGCACAAAGCACAGGAAGTAAGTCTAAACTGCAATTAATATACAGATAGAGTTCAGAAAGGTTTTCCTGAAAACTGACCTGGGTTTAACTTCCCTCCGAGGATCTACTGAGGATCCTAAGAAACTCAGGCCAAGGCCTACCCAACAGTTTGGCCTTTTGATCATCCTCACGGATGAGAACTGGTGAGGCTTTCTCCCCCGACGTGAGCTGCGCACTGGAAGTGCCCGGTGGGGCCTGGGCAGAGAGCAGGGGCAGAGGTTCTGAGAGCCCACAGAGCTGCCCACCTCACAGGCCCCTCGGCTCCAGGACCAGCCAGTTCTCGGTGACCATCTGTATGTCCTGGCCACTCAGAGGCTCCCGCAGCCTCACCTTCACCTCCAGCTTGCCCCCAGTGGGCTTCCTTCCATCCAGGACCTGAGGATCACAGAAAGGGAGATGGTAACTGATGGGGACAGGCTGGGAGCAGGCAGCTCTCTCTGCTCACAGGTAAAGGATGAGGAGTTAAAACATTTTGTGCTATCAACAGAGGAGTCTCTACTTCATGCCAACCCTGATGGTGGGTCCAGAGAGCTGCCCACCTCACAGGTAAGTCTTACCAAAAAGAATATGTAAATCCAAATAACTCTGGTCGCTCAGTTTCCCCATGGAAGAAATCCTCTGGCTTAAAGGTGCAGCCTGAAAAACCACTAAGCCCAGACCCTCACTCCACAGATGGCCCAGAGAGTGGATGCTCTCTACACTGCCAGTGTGGCGAGGCCAGGACGAGAACCAGGCCGGGGGTTCCTTTCTACCCACCATGCTGCCTCCCTCCTGGGCAGGAAGGGGAAGCTGGTGTGCAAAGCAGGGAGTGTTGCAGCCTCGAGAAGTCTAACCGCCAATGTGGCCAATACCAACCACTTAGTAAAAAGCCCCAGGAAAGTGGTGGAGGGAGGTGGGGGCGCCATGGTGGGAAAAGCCCCACTCATGAAGGCGTCAGCAACACACTGCTGAGGACACACCCTTCTCTCTGGACCTGTTTCCTCATGTCAAAGGCACGCTCGTAGAGTCACTGCTGTGAAATTGGTAAGTTCGTGGAAGCTGAAAGAGCTGTCTGGGCCAATTCCTTAACAGTCTGGCTTCACTGTGGAGGTCCCAGATTGTGAAATACCTAATGGACTTTATATCCAGAGCTTGTTTCATTTCATCAAGCTGCCGAGCTACTGTCCAACCATGACTCTGTCCTTCCGTATCTAGGAGTGCCAAGTGGATACCAATGACCGGCTGTCCTCCGCCACCCCTGGGAACTTGAGTGGCCCAGAGTATTATAGAAAGAACAGCTACTTTCTGAAAGGGTGATGTCAGTCCCTCTGAATCTCAACCTGTAAAATGGGCATAGCACCTACTGCACAGCACACTTGTGGCTATTTTTAATGGGCACAAACATCCTACAGTGGACCGGTGCTCAGAGAACAGTGGCTTTTCACTTGCCAAGCCCTCTGGTTTCCCCACCCCACCTCTACAATCTGTCCTACCTCCAAAATCTCCCTGATCTCACACTCATTCTCCAGCCGCTCCAGTTTCAGGTGCGCTGTGCCGACCGGCTTGTCACTTCTGAAGAAGGATCTGGGGAGCCAAGGGTCAGCAGAGGGTTGGACTGGGCAGGGGAAGCAGGAAGGAGCTGGCTGAGACCAGCACAAGAAAGCTGAGTAGCAGCAGGGATGGCAGCAGTAGAAGCCTTTCCTTCCTCCCAGCCACCTTGGCAGCATGACTGACGGGGCTCACCCTTTGTGGAAGATTTCAAACTTGATTCCTTTGCTTTGGATCACCCTTCTGAAGCCCCGGTGGTTTCGGTTGATGTTTAATTTGAAGAGCTGATCAAATTCTGCAAGAGTGGGAGAAGGGGCTTGGCTACCAGGGACTTCCTTGGGGCTGATCTCCCCTCTGGATTGCTCTGCCTGTCATTCAGTAAGACTACCACCAGAGGGTGTGGAACCTAGGTCCTGGTCTTGCAAATCCACCAGTTTTTGTGCTCTTAAGACAGATTTTGCCGAAACCGGTTTGGCTCAGTGGATAGAGCTTTGGCCTGCAGACCGAAAGGTCCCGGGTTCGATTCCGGTCAAGGGCATGTGCCTTGTTTGCAGGCACATCCCCAATAGGGGGTGTGTAAGAGGCAACTGATCAATGTTTTTCTCTAATCGATGTTTCTAACTCTATCCCTCTCTCTTCCTCTCTACAAAAAAATCAATAAAATAGCCGAAACCAGTTTGGCTCAGCGGACAGAGCATCGGCCTGCAGACTGAAAGTTCCCAGGTTCGATTCAGGTCAAGGGCATGTACCTTGGTTGTGGGCACATCCCCAGTAGGGGGTGTGCAAGAGGCAACTGATTGATGTTTCTAACTCTCTATCCCTCTCTGTAAAAAAATCAATAAAATATATTAAAAAAAAAAAAAAAAGATTTTGCTCAAATGGGAGGGACATGGAATTTGGAGTAGGGATTGCATTCCCACCACCTATGTCCTTGGAGGCCATAGGCAAGTCCATTTTTCTCTCCAAGCCTCAGTTTCCCCACCTACATAAGAGAAGTGGTAATACCTGCTTTTGTCTCCCAAGTACAGTACCAAGTAAGGTAATAGATCTGGAAACACAAATGCTGCACATGCACATATCAGAGAATGAGGGAGGAGAAAGCAGCCCTCACCTGGAGAGTTTGTGTTCTTCACCACAGCTGTTTTGCTTTTTTGAGCCTGGTCCTAAAGCAGCAAGAAGGAAGAAGTGGTCAGCTTGAAAAACAGGTCCTTTGGGTTAAGTCAGTGTTGAGGGAAGGGATGCCTATAGGTCTTCAAACCCCTCCTGTGGCCAGACCTCCCAGGGACGGAGAAACAACACCAGGTCCCCGAACAGAAGATGGGGTTCTAGCTCTACCTGACCCTCACCGAGTTAGGGTAGTGGAACTCAAACCGCACAAAAGCATCCAAGTCATCAGGGGTCACCCCTATAAAGGAGAAATGGGGGTCAGCACCTTAGAAGAAAGGGAGCCAGTGCCTCCCATTGGTTGGGGGTAGAGTATCTAGGCAAGAGCCTCCTGGAGTAGGGGTGGCCCTCGGGCTACCTGGAGGAGCTGGGAGGTTCATTCCCCGGACAATGATCAGATGCATTTCTGTGCTGTTGAGTTCCGAGAAGATCCTACGGCCAGGAAACAAGGGGAAGAGCCCAAAGTGAAGTTGTGCTGTGGGGAAGGGTCCCTGCTTCCAGGGACGGCCTGCCTCCCAGGTTGTGCTCAGAAATAGTGGGCAGGGAGGCACAGCTCGTCTGGGCTGGGAGCAGCAGGGCTGGTACAAAGACCTCAGTCCAGACCTCAGCCACCCACAGCTCTGAGCTCCTGACAGGCAGGCACCACGCCCTACCTCCCACATCCCTAGGCCCAGTGCCATGGCAGGACCAAGCCTGGGAATTTTTACTAAAGGGGCCTAAGTCCCCAGTCTTGGCTCCCAGCCTCTTGGCCCATTCCTACATGGAGCCACTGTCTCAGGCTTTGGTACCTCACAGTCTGGAATGTCTTTGACTCAAAGTGGTGGCTAGGAGGGTCAAGGCCCTGCGCCTGGGCCAGCTGTAGGATCTCGAGCTGCTTCTTGCGGTCCTGAGCGAGCTTCTCGAACCTGACAGGGACAGGTGCATGCGTGAGCTCATTAGGGCCATGTTCTGTCCCTGCCCCCGCTCAGCCCTGCAGTTACCGGGTGGTCTCGGCCACGTTGCCCTGGTGCATGAACTGCTTGGAGAACAGCAGACACTTCTGAAAATAGAGGCCCAGAGTGGGTCTAGGTTGGTTTTAGAGGCCTGACTTCTGAAAGCTCCAAATTTGTCCTATAATCTCCCTGCTCTTCTCCCCCAACACATATCCTCCCCAAGATCACTTTCCAAGTCCCTAAGCTTTTGCTGTTTTCTTTCCTGTGGCTCTTACTATACCCCAAAATTCAATTAGCAAACTCCTATTTTATTACCCAAATTATTTACTACAGAACATCTTGCGTGGTATCTCCCCCCCCCCCCCCCCCATTAATCACAATAATATTCGTGCAAAACCTAAGAGAAACATCACTTTAGAAAGCAGACTTGCCGGCAGCAGTTCAGAACGATATGTGCAAATGTATGTATATTTTCGTATAAACAATATGTGTATGTGTCTCCTAATGCTTCCTGTGATCTTCAAAGTACTTTGCCCTCCAGTCTGTTGTCTGAACTTCATAACCACCCTGAGATATTATAGATGAAATAGCCCATTTTATAGATGAAAATGTGGTTCAGAGAGCGGAAGTGCCTTGTGCCAGGTCAAACAGCCAGGAAGCGGAAGAGCCAGAATTTGCAACCAGGCCTCTGGTCTGAGCCGCATGCCTTTCCCCAAAGGCAGGCTGTTGCCTCTGAAGGGAAGAGAGGCAAGCAGGCAACTGACCTCATGTTGCTCCAGAAGCATTTTGTGTAGCTGGGCGTACACTTCCTCGGCCTTCTGGGAGAGCTGCAGGTCTTCATGGTGAATGAGGATAAAGTCACCCTCCTCGTCCGTCAAGGGTGAAGGCACCTGCCAAGGTCACACGCCCCCAGGGGCGCCAAGAGTCAGATCATCCCCCTACTGGCCCAACACATACAGGAATCCAATCTGAATGTTCCCCAGCTTCTAACCGCCCGCTGCCTCCCGCCTGGCCCAGGCTGCAGCGAGATATTCTGCCCCCACCTGGCCCTTCCTGGCCTCTCTTGGGGCCCTGGGGCAGAGGCGCCTAACAAGAGGCTTTTCCAGCACTCACCACATCCTATCCAAGTCCCACCTCTCAATGAAGGTATGGCTGACGGCATGGACACAGCGTCCAGGAGCTGCCTGGAAAGCCCTGCTTAAACAGGAGGGGCTCACCTTGGCGAGGTCCACAGGTCTGCCGGCTCGGACCTGGGTGATCTGAGCCTCGAGGCGTTTGGCCAGCCGCAGGCGAGCTTTGGCCTGTTCCAGGTCCTGGCCGCGCTTGGCCTGCAGGGCTGCCCGCTGGTACTGCAGTTTGCGGGCCTCTAGCAGTGCCAACTGCTCCCGCACTGAGGGCAGAGCGATGCTGGTCAGAGCCATGCCTGCCCTCGCTGGAGCCTGCCGCCCTCACCCCTCTCCTCCCCAACTCACCAGAGGGGCTCAGGGACTCCTTGGAACTCGAGGCCCTGGGCTCAGGCAGGGGCCGGGCGGGAGACACCAGAGGCTTCTTAGAAGCTGGGGCCTGGGCTGGAGGCTCGCCCTGCAGGTGCCAAGAGGGGTCACGGGAACCTGTCCCCACCCGGCCCAGCAGCCCGGCTCTCTTCTAACGCCGCACTGACTTGTGTGAAATGAGCTGAATGCCTCTCCTTGTGGGCCCTGCAGAGTCCCCGAAGCTCTGAGCCAATCTTCCCAACAGCATATAGTAGGGAATGAGGGCTAGAACATGGGCTGGAGTCAGAAAGACATCCATTTCAATCTAGCTCTGACAATGCTATCTGGGTGCCCTTGGCCAAGTTTTTTCTCTGCAGAATGGACAACAGGGTCTAGGTTTACCCCGCATCTGCTATCCCCATCCCCCATCCCTGGAGTCTGGGCCCTCAGCCAAACCTCATCCTCATCCCCATCTTCCTCTGCTGGGGCTGCTTCCTCAGAGGCCAGTTTCTGGGCAGCTGCTAAAGCAGCTGCTACTGCATCCGCCTCAGTGCCTGCAACGGGCTCCAGGCCGGGGATGGGCGGGAATCCTGCAGGAGAGAGAGCTGGCTGAGGGCTGGGGTGGCCTCTGTGGCTCAGCGGGGTCTTCGGGGCATGGCTGGCTCCCACAGGTGGAGGCAGCCACCTGAAAATCATTTCCCTCCTCCTCGGAGATTTCAGGGACCCTAGGCCAAGCACCACTTACCTGGAGGAACAGGCAACTCAGCAAAATCAACTCTGCGTCCTGCTCGGTGCGCTCGAATGGCATCTTGATATTGCTGCGAGGGAAGGGAGGGAGGGCTATTGCAGCAGCGGGTCTGCAGGCTCCACAAAGAGACAAGACCAAAAGCAGCCCCAGGAGAAAAAAGCCCGAGGCAGCAAGAGCTCGAAAGAGGCAGACAGACGGGCAGAGAGCAGCCAGCAGAGAGGGGCTGGCGCAGGCGCTCCACGCTGCAGGCCCACCTTGGCAATGCGCTCGTGCATCCGGGCCTTGCGCTCATCCCCACCGGCCCGGGCCTGGCTGCCCGCCTCACGGTACTTGTTCAGCCTCTGCTGCAGGGCGTCCAGCACCGTCTGTGGCTCAGCATGGGCCGCTTGAGAGGAGGAAGGAGAGAGCATCAGCTCTGCCTACCTCTCCCCAGGCCCCCCTCCACAGTCCCACTGTCGCATCCTACCTGGGGTGCCGGGGGTGTCAGGGGCCATCACTGGCTGCACTCGCTCCACTGTTGGGGGTGTGACTGTGGGTGCTGTGAGGGCCTTCAGGTCTGGGGACCCAAAGCAGAAGAATAGGTGGGGGTGCCCAGCTAGTCGGGCCTGAGTAGGTTTCCTCCCCCATCCCATACTGACCCTCCGGTGCTGGGGGCATGGCACTCAGGTCCACAGGCTGCCCCTTCTCCAGGGCCTCCAGGACGGCACCGAATCTCTGCCCAGCAGGAAGAAAAGCAGGTGCTCATTAGCCAGGAACCCCGGGGCCTGGGCCGAAAAAACCCCCTCACTCAAGCCCAGGCTAGCTGCGTGACCATGAGCAGGCCACTGCCCCCACTGTGAGAGGAGTGGACACAGGGCCCCTGGCAGCTGTCAGACCTTCCCAATCCTCATGAGCTCTCGGGCCCGGTCTAGGTCGCCAGCCCGCTTGGCACTCAGGGCAGCCGCTTTGTAGTCTCTCTGTCGGGCCAGCAACAGGGCCCGTGGGTCTGGGTCCGAATCGGGTGGGGCAGAGGTGCCAGGGCCGCCCACGCTTGTCTCAGGCTGAGAAGGGTTGTCTAGGGAGAAACAAATGGTCCAGAGAGAGGATATCAGGGTCAAAGAACGTGCACCAGGGTTGCCAGCACCACAGGAAAGGTGACTCGGGCCATCGCAGGGCAGATGGGGAGCGGGCCAGGGGCCCTGACCTTGGGAAGCAGAGCAGGACTGAGGTACCTGGCAGCGTGGAGGGGGGAACGGGAAGGTCTGCCTCAGGGCTCCTGCTGGCTGTTTCCTGAGGGGCCGGGGCTTTCTTGCCCACGGCCACTGGGGGAGGGATCTCCTCCTCATTGATCTTCCTGCCTCTCCTCACAGCGGCCAGCTGGGACCCTAGGGTCTGGGGAAGAGAACCAGAAACCCAGTCGGACCCTCCACCTCCACCAGGCCAGCGGGGAGGCCTCCCCCCACTACTGGCCCAACCTCTTGCTGCCCTCGGCCCCCCTCCCAGCCCTGCCCCTGGCTGGGCGCACCCTACCTTTAGGCCACGCTCACAGCGCCTGGTCTTGGCTGCGTCCCCTGCCTCCTTGGCGCTGGCCGCAGCCTCCCGGTAATTGCGGATCCGATCTTCCAGCAGAGCCTGCAGCGCCCGGGGCCCTCCAGCCTGTAGAGACTCCAGGTCAGGGCCCGGCCTCTCCAGGGCCAGCTGGGCCCTTGCTGCTCCCTCCCTGCAACAAAGCTGCCCCAGGAAAAGGGGCTCTTGGGTTCGAGGAGGCGGCGGCACAGCCCTACTGGAGGCCAGAGGCCACATCAGAGCAAACACTGAGGCCAGACAAGCTGTGAAGGACACAGGGGCGGTCGGGGAGAACAGACAGACCTCTGAGGCCAGCCCGGCTCCAAGGAGTTCCTCATGCTCAGTCACTGCTTACGCAGGGGCTCCGCGGGGAGGGCCTAAGAGGTTACTGCCTCTTCCTCTGCAAGCGAGGCTACACGCTCGTTCTACGTGGACACGCAGGGTGTCAGAGGCCCCTTAAGAACCTACCTGAGGAGCCGGGACTGAGGCTGTTAGGAGGGGTGTCTGCACTGGAGGCTCAATGTTTTCCTGCCCCTTTTCGTCCTCAGAGCGACCCAGGACGGCTGTCTCATCGCCATGCAGGGACCCAGCTTCCCCATCTGCACCCAGGACCTCTTGCAGCTCAGTCTGGGGAGACACAAGTCACAGGAGCGTGGGGGCCTCAGGATCCGAAAACAAAGGGCCCTCTTCCCCAGCAGTCCTTCCCGACATCAGCCCCTGTGCCTGAACGCCCCCTTTACCACAACCCTTCTGTAATCTGACTGAAGACGGTGAGACCACAGGCCTGCGAACCCCCCGTACAAAGTGCAGCCCAGCCGTCAAAGGAAACCATCTCACACCGTACAGCCAGGAACGGCCCCAAGCAGGGCAGGGCAGGTGCACAACATGAGAGCTCACAGGGATAAAGCCCAGCCTCCTCTGCAGGTTTGATCAGGCCCAGGACACCGGCTTGGCAGACGCACCAGCAAGTCTGCATCATCCTCCAGCCCGTCCTCCTCCTCCTCGTCCTCCACATCCCGCATACAGTCCGCTGCCAGCTTCTCGATGTGGGCCATGGGCAAGGGGGCTGGGGAAACAGAAGGTCAGGCCTCAGAAAAGGTCCGTGAAGAGTGGAGAAGAGCCTTCAATGGCTGCACATTTCAAACGCTGCCCTTCCTCAGCCAGTCCCACCGGGAGACTCCCGCTCTGCCATTAGGACCCGGCTCCAAAGGCCTCGGCAGGAAACCTTCCTGGACCTTCCCCACGTCTGCTCTAGTTCTTCAGACACATTCATCCTTTTCCCCTAACTACACCTTTCACATATGTAAAGTCTGTTAACACCCATTTGAGCTTCACAATAATTCTGCAAGATAGGCCACATTATCTCCTATAAAAGTAAACTGAGAACTACCAATATTAATTTTGCTATTAATTGCAATCTTATTCAGCAGTAGAGCCATGACTCAAACCAGGCTCATCTAACCCCAAAGGTTTGGATGAGAACAAATGGAGGGCCATGGCCCTCCCACTGCCCTCGCTCAGGAGACAGGGACTGGGGCCTGCGAGAAGACGAAGATTTAGATCCTCTGACCCTCCCAGACTTCAGGTCTCCGTCCTCTTCCAGGCTAGGCAGGAAGATCCCACTTGTTCACCGGATACAACTTCTCTGCACGTATTAGTGCCCGATTCAGCCTGTGCTGAGCCTCCTGGCAGGGCTAAGGGCACAGACTGAGTCAGCAGAGAAGCACACAGCTGACTGTCCACACGAAGAGGGGCCGTCCAGGGAAGGAGTGCGCTCCCCACCACACAGGTGTGTGAGCCGGGCAAGACGAGCCCTCGGTGAGAGCGCAGGAGGGACATGGTATCAGGAGGACCAGGGGATGTGGCTGATCCTCACAGCTGTGAGAGAACCCTCTCCTCCACCTGCTTGAGCCCATCTGGTCCCAGCACCAAGCCCAGCCCAGCACCGACAACTCACCCTTCCCTTTGGGGGCTGGCTTCCTGCCCGTGGTCCCCGCTTCCCCAGTGAGGGCCAGCAGCTCCGCCTCCAGGTCCCCATCGTCTTCAGTCTCCTCCACCCCCAGCAGCATGTCCTCAGGGCTGAACTCCACAAAGAGCCCCAGCTGAGGGCAGAGAACGTTTCTTAGGAACCACACAATGGGGCCAGGGATCAGCCCAGCCCCACAGCCAGGCTCCTAGAGATCAGTGGCTCCTTCACTGAGTGAGGCCCAATGTGCAGAAAGGGTAACGAGGGCTACAGTATTACCCCTCAGTATACTCGCTGGTGACCATAAAGACAGTAGGAGCACAGTGCCATTGTTATTACAACAGTAACAGCACTGTGTTTACTTAGTACTCTATGTGCTTACCTTAGTTAATCCTCACAATCCTAAGGAATTGGTTCTATTTTTTTTAAATTATAAAACACATAATCTGAAAACTATAATCATAACCATTTTTAAGTGTACAGCTCAGTGGCATAAGTACATCAAACTGTTGTGCTACTATCACCACTATCCATCCACACTTTCCATCTTGCCAAACTCAAACTGTGCACCCATTAAACAATAATTCACCAATTCCCCTGCCCCAGCCCAATAACCACATTCTACTTTGCATGAATTTGACGACTCTAAATAAAGGTAGGCCCTTTATCACAGTCAGATGACACTGAGACGACCTTGTTCAGTGGCAGAACTAGAATCTAAAATGCGGTCCCATGCCTTGAGTCTATGCCCTTTATCCTGCCACCTCCCTTACCTGCTTCTTTTCAGAAGTCGCAGGATTGAGCCCAGAATAAGCAGAGATTAGGGAACAGACCCATAAGGCTGCAAAGCTCTCCCAGTGGATTAGCCCTCAAGCCCTGGCAGCTGGAGCCGTAAGAAGAGCTGTGACCCTAAATTCAGGGTCCAAATGAACCCATGAGAGTGCTGAGGCCCCCTCAGTACCCCATAAACTGGTGGTTCCTGAATCCTCCAGATCACTCGTAAGCAGGTGGCCATGGCAGGAGGATGCCTGGGCTGACACACAGGCGAGTTCCGGCCTCGTCTCCCCCATGAGTATGGCAGAGGCCAGAGTGTCTCCAGGGCTCTGTCAATCCCGGGAGGCCCTGCTCCAAGTCTCTGCGCTCATGGCGATACCACACAGATGGCCCAGTTCGCCACGCTGCAGAGGAACCCGCCCTGGCTCAGGGTGAAGGCCACATACATACCTGCTTGGCAACTGCCACACCCTGACCACTGGCCTGAGGGCCCTTCCGAGGTCTTGGCCCTGGCATCTTGGCAGCCTAGATACCTGTCTGGTGGGGAAGGGAAGAGACTCAGACTGGAGCAGCCTATAAGCCCCTTCCCCAAAAGCGCTACCTTAGTGAGATGTGGTCAGTCAACTCAGCTCACGAGGAAAAAGGCAATGCTTACGATCAGAGTGAAATGCTAACACGGAAAGTATGGCACTGCAGCAAACAACAGGAGAGAGAAGGGATGAGGACCACCTGCGACGGGGCTTACAGGGAGCGTGAAACTCTCGGACAAATCTGGATTAAACCCAAGGTTGAGTGGGGAGCAGCCAGGAAGACAGATACCGCGAAGTAACTCCACGCAAGGGGTGGGAGGGTATAAGGCTGGATAGGATGCAGAAAGGCTCTAAAGCTGTGCTGTCAACTACGGTAGCCATGGCTCCTTACATTGAAATCAATTAAGTTAAAAATCCAGTTTCTCAGTTATTGGCCAGCACAAATACTGAACACTTTTTATCACAAAAATTTCTACCGGGCAGTTCTACTCTAGAGAACTGACTCAGCATTCTGATTTGAGATCTCATAACCATTCATAGGGCACTATGTGTCAAGAGACCCTGTGCTGGGCACTGGGAGAGCAGAAAAGAATCTGACAGGTCCTCACGCCTCACCGAACATTTACGTGGTGAGACAGCCTCATGGATCGGCCATCACCACCGGGGGCTGCTCCAGGGGCCGGGGCTGCCAGGTGCGGACCGGGCCCGGACCCCGAACCCCCGACCCCGGACCCCGGCGCAGAGGGAGAAGGTTTCCTGAGGACGAAGCCTGCGCCGAGTCATGTAGAAGCTGGAAAATAGACTCCAAACAGAGGGAACGACTGGCCCATTCTGAGTGAGAGCCAGTCTGGCCTCCACCAGGAACCTCAGGGCCTGGGGTTACTGGGGCATCAACTGTGGAGCATAAACAGGGAACAAGCGAAGCTGCACGTGTGAGCACAGGACGACAGAAAACGCCTCTCAGCCTTAAAGGAGCCCAGGCATTCTCCCGAGGGCGAGGCCGCTGGGCTCAGGCCGGGACCCTGAGCCGCCGCCGTTGCGGAGGGGCGGGAGGCGGCGGGGCAGGAGGCAGCGGGGCAGGAGGCAGCGGGAGCGGAGCTGCGAACCGTCCAGTCCGGCAACGGTCCCGCCGGAGGGGCGCGCCGCGGGGCGCGGGTGGGGAGCAGAGGCCGGGGCCGGGAGCGGCGGTGAAACGCCGAGCTCCGGGGTGAGCCGGCTGTGGGAGCCCGGGGGGAGGGTGGGGGCTCAGGGTGACTCCGGGAGTCGGGTTTCGGCGGCGGGGCTGACGGGGCCGGCACTGAGGGCTGAGCGCGCGCCCAGGGAGACTCAGACGCGGTCCGCCCGGCGCGCCCGGCCTGCAGGTCCGGCCCCGGGAGGGGCGGCGGTGCGGGGCCCCGGCCGGAGCTCGGGAAGAGGAGGGCGGCGGCGGCGAGCGCGGGACAGGCGGCGCCGGGGGACCGCCCCATCCCTCGCCGCAGGACGCGCCCCGCCCCGCCCCGGCCGACGCCGTCTCCCGCGTCCCCCGGTCCCCTCGCCCGGGGGCGGGTACGCGGCATACCTCGCGGCGAATCCCGACCCGCCCCGGGCCTGCTCTCGCCGCGCACCGCCCGGGACTCCCGTGGCCCCCGGGCGGCGGCCGCGGCAGCCGTGACCGGAAGTTCCCCCGCGGAGACGCTCGCGCCGGAACACGTGACCCCACGCCCCGGCGACACGCAAGACGCACGCGCGAGGCGGAGCGGGCGTGGCGCCCCGACAGGTGTCTCCGAGGGCGGCGTCCTGAGCGCGCTGGCAACGCCCGGCTGGTTGTGTGGGCCGAAGGGCGGGTCCGGGGAGCCAGCCGGCTTGCACACGTGCAGTAGGTGCGACACCTTCCCTCGCTCAGTCTCACTCCCCCGCCAAGCCCCGGGGAGGCCCCGGGGAGGCCCCGGGCCACTCACCGCGCGTCCTTGCAGCCCTCTCGCGTGAGTCCGGGGCTGGCACGGACCCCGCCAAAGGGGCGGGCTTCTCTGCTTGTCACCTTCTTGGTGTCCTTGGAGCTTCTCCAGCAAAATGGGGCATATATATAGATATATAGGTATATATGTAGATATATATGATATATATTTAAGTATTTTTATTGATTTCAGAGAAGAAGGCAGTGGGAGAGGCTGCCTCCTGCACACCCCACACTGGGGATGGAGCCCATAACCCTGGCATGTGCCCTGACTGGGAATCCAACCGTGACCTCCTGGTTGATGCTCAACCACTGAGCCAGGCCAGCCGGGCCATATTTTTAAACATTTACTACCTACCTTTCCAATCAGAAAGTGGGTTAAAAATTTAAGATGTGATCAGCAGTGAGTGTTCACTGCACCTCTTCGTTAAGTTTAGCCAAGTTCTTACTCCCCCTACTTTACAGGGCAATGAAATGAGGGGTGGTAAGAGGCATTAAAGAGCATCTTCCATCTAAAATCTTTGCAACTCACTCCTGCATATCTCAACTTTTA